AGTTGATAAAAAATGCTATGCAATAGCTTTACCGCGGCAGTCCCCGAGTGCCACGCGTATTTTTTTAAACAATCCTATCTATCTTGGTTATACATCTATGGGTTTTTCTCCTAGTAATTATTGATTTTCAGCAAAGGCAGAAAAAATCGTAAATAACCAATAGGGGTGTTTACCTACGAAGAGGAATTGGCTACAATTTATTATTAGTGGAGCACCTGGGGCGTTAAAACATGAAAACCTCGAACTTGAGCTGCAGTGAATGAAATTTAAAAATTCAAAATTGGATATTTTGCTACTAATATATATAAAAAAGTTTACAAATTTAAAAATTGTAATCTTGATTAAAAAAAAAAAAAATAATAATTGTAATAATTCAAATAGTAAATTCAGATATAGTAATCGGGAAAAAGAAGTAAATGAACGAAAATTAAATGAACAAGTAATTTTTTTATATAAACTATTCAAATATGGCATATTATCGGTACCTTATTTTTCTGTATATTTATTGAAAATCATAAAGTAGAAATTAATATAAAAGTAATTTTAAAAACTGTGCAGATGCCATTAAATATTGAGTTTTTTATTTTCTCATCATCAACCCCTGAGGTATCCCCTTTCTAACAAAAAAAAGAATCCCGGAAATCGAACAACGCGGTAAAGAATTATTTCTGAAAATATATAAAAATATGAAGTTTGATGATTTTCTCATGGACTCCATTATTAGATCTTGACCAAATTTATATGGGACCACCCCTGAGATACCCCCTTTCTAACAAAGAATCATAGAAATCAGAAAACGTTGTAAAGAATGATCACTGAACTTACATAAAAAAAAATTCCGACGAATTGAGAATCTGTTGATTTTTTGAAGTAGGTTAAAACAAAATTACTAATAAAATGTTTTTTTTTTATTTAAAATATTTTCTTCGACTTAATTTATTTGAATAATAGGTGGAGTATTGAAACAACTATTTTCGCTGCACTGTGAACATGCTACACACAAGTAGCTCCACTCAGGCCCGACGAGACAAATTCCCGGGGCCCGGCAGCTTTAGCTGGGGACATTTTATTTTTTAAAAGTTCGCCACAAAAATACAAGGTGAGGACCTTTTTTTTTTATATGATTTTGCCTGCTAAAGCACACGAACTAAAAAATGATTTTGTATCAGTTAATTTTGTAGGAGGCAAAAGAAATGCTCAGAAGTTTCCATAACTATGTATTGTACAGGAGACAGGAGATCGTTGGGGACGACATTAGTATTATGGCTTTAAACTGTATTGACACAAGCAAGAAAACATTCATTGCAAATGAAAAGAATGTTTCTGTTGGTCAGACTTTTGGAATACTAGAAAACCCTAAGGTGGTTTGTATTGGTGAACGTTTAGGATATGTATTTAAAAGTTCTGTAATAAGTGTTCATGAAAAATAAAAAATGTATTACCATTTTATATATGTTTATATTGTCTGTATAGAACATGTAAAATAATATGTTTGTTTAACAATGTTTACTAATAAATTTTATTTTTATTAGTATTTTTCCCTCTTTGTTTAATTATTGTCATCCATTGGTACTATTTCCTACAATGTTAGCTATTGGAACATTTGACATGTCAAGCAGTGGTTCTTATATGTCATATACAGGTACATAGGTGTATTAGAGAAAAAATTACATTTTTGAAAAAAATACTTAAATTACATAAATAGAACCCAATGCATTCAATAGCTGAATGTATGAATGATCACTTGTTTTTTGGAATTTTTTTAACGTTCTTATAAGCAAATTATTTTTATTTTAGTAAAATTACATCCTTATATAATTTGGTAGTACACTTTTTACTCAAATATCATTTTTTTGTTTTTTGTTTAAATAATTAAAAAAATCGAAAGCACAAAAAAAATTGGTAAACTTTGCAATTTAAAGTACCTATAAAAAACAAAATTTCACTTCAACCATATAAATTTATTCAGTGCAGCAGAAGTCCGAGGTCAAAACCCCCAGGCGCTCCACTATATTGTGAGATAAATGAAACACAAAATTTATATCGCAATCAATATTTATTAAAATATAACTTTTATGTCCGAGGACCATACTTCCTGATGCCAAAAACTTACTCACACATATAAAATATTTATTAATAATTATTCGGTGAGCGGTTTTGGCTATGTAGCTATTTTCAAGCATATTATTTAAGGAAAATTATTGAGGTTCTATAGGAAACCGGTCGCCGAATAATTATTATTAAATATTGATTGTGGTATAGATTTCATGTTTCATTTATGCCATATAAGATGATTACATTTGAGAGGTTGGCTTCCCTTCTTTAATTTAGTTATAATTTTCATAGGTCGGTTTTTTTAATAACTACTTTACAAATTGGAAAACAATGAACGCTATTAAACAACAGATCGGCGCTCCTCCGCATTATGCACAGCAGGTGCCAGTGTACTTAGACCAAGCATTTCCAGGAAGGTGGATTGGTAGAATCGGCGCTATTGAATAGCCACCAAGATCTCCAGATTTATCTCCAGTGCATGGAAGTTAATGGCCAGCAATCTGAACATTTATTAAACTAATTTTAATTTAAATCCTCTTTGTAAATGAAACGAATAAATTTGAAATGTCAAATGACATCTCATTTCATAAATGAGGCATATTTGAAAAGATAATTGAAAGACCTTTCAAACAAGGTGCCACTCAACCCCACTTTCCATTTAAGATGTTCAAGGGGTTAAAAGAGAGAGGGTTCGAAATAAGTCTAATTTACTTACAGAAATATCTAAATATGTCATAAATGTAATCTTTGCATCCATATTACAAAAGCATAACTTTTTCAGTCTCGATAGAAGGCGTGATTATTATAGTGTAGTAGTAACTTATAAAATTATTAAAAGTATTATTGACTGCCCAACCTTATTAGAAAAGTTTAATATTTGCATTCCCAGAATTTCTTCCAGACACCCGAATACTTTTTATATAAATACATCTCGCAAAAATGTTCTGGAAAATTCTCCGCTCCATACCATGTATACAGTAACAAATTCTATTGTCAATGAACTTGATATATTTAGTTGCAATTTGTCAGATATAAAATCTCACTTTTTATCTTAGTTAATTTGTTACCTATTACGAAATACAAGTTCTTTTTATGTGCTTAACATTCATATAAAAAATGTGATCTATTAATAATTATATTCTGTCAATTCCTGCTCTGTAATTGGGTTTATGACCTGTAGAGTATTGTATTATAAATAAATAAATAAATAAAATAAATATTATAATTCGTATATTATTTCTATTGAAGCTCTGCTATCTACGGGAAGGCCTCAGTTTTTCTCGTCTGCTCTTCTATACGTGACGATAATTCTAAAACGAAAGCACCTATCGACTTGCGGTTTTGATTTTACTTATTAATTTCTTCCAGTCGACCCTATTAATTTTCAGAAGTTTTGATTTAACTTTATTACTTTAAATATCAGTAGACAATGCATTTCTTATGTGATCACTCACTTTAAAAGGATTTTATTTCAATGATTTTATTTAAGGAACGTGATATAACTGAAAATAATTGTTGAAATAAATGTGAATCTTACGCGAATAATATACCTACAGGATGGTGAAGTATCAATAATTTTAACAAACTCCAGAATGGAGCTCATATTTGAATTTGATATTAGGGTAATCAAAGAGTTATTAAAAATTTTAATGGGTTATTTTTTCGAATTAGTGTTTTCATTTCAAAAAGGTAAAGGGCCCAAATATTGTAATGTTAATTTATACACTTATATTCAATAATTTATTTACAACTTATTAGTAATTTACCTCAAATACCTATTTTCTATATCAGCACTATTTATATTTTAAACAATTGATCTTTACACAACAAATTCTGTCTATAAAATTATAGAAAAATGCTGCGCACCGCACAGATTCTAGAAGAATTTTAGGTATTTCTCGAAAGTACTAGATGAGTTCTGGCAACACTTCCAGCAAACTTCCACGCTTCGTCCAGCATAGGGGTATTGGAAAGGGGTTGCGGAGGTGACTTGCTATATTAAATATTCTTTGAATGTTTTTGGTAATCGGACAAATGAGGCCATAAAAAGGCCCAAACAAGGCCGGACTGGTCGAAACTGGCTTGCATTACATTATTTTCACATGGTTAGGCGTAATTGGTAAAAGGGCCAAATATTTTGATATGGACAGGCCTAAGGGATAAAGGCACCAAATATTTATATGGGTAGGCATAAGGGGTAAATAAAGTAAAGAAAAGGGACTAAAATATTTTTACATTGGCAGGCTTAAGGAGTAAATAGACAAACTTAAGGGGTAAAGGAATAAAATATTGTTTTATGGCTACTTTTAAGGGATAAAGGTCCAAATATTTTTACATCAATTACATGAAAGCTCATTACATAATTTTTCATTCAAAATCAAATTGTTTCTTGTTTTGGGGGTGTCAGTCCTGATAAGGTAGGACCACCGATTTAAATGTCCCTTGAATTTTAACATTTTGTAATTTGTATATTTTTTATTACGTAGGTTCAAGCATTTCTTGTCTATAGTTGTTTTAGACAAATACCTTGGCTCTATATAGGCATTATAAAACCTGTTGGCCAATACATTATAATATTACTAATGCGACTTAATTTGTCATTTTTAAAGTAGGTATGTATCATCTTTAATTTTGCATTTTTTTCAATGCTGGTGGGAGGGATTTTCCTCGCCTGTAAGTCAAATTGCGCCATCAATCATCTTTAAGTAGCCCCTGAGCGCCACGGCAAATAATAGCCGTCCCTTCTCCTACACAATTCGCCGAGTCGAATTCAGGGGTTGAAATTCCATCGTAAAGGGGTGAATTAGGGAGAGTATTATCATTATTATTATCTAATTAATATTAAATAAAGCTAGCTTTAATTTAGATAAATAATGGCTTCAATCAAGCATGATAAGAAAGGTTGTGTTTAGTTAAAGGTGTGGAATGAAATATCATTAAAAGAATAAATATCAAAACATATTATTAAAAAAATATATAAACTATAATCGTTTCAAGCATCATGCTTGTGCATTTTGTGTAGGCTGTTCAACATCATTAGCATTTTGTTGATTACATAAATTCTGTTCATTTGCAGCTTTGTACTGTGCGATCCAGGAACTTGGCATTGTTGACTTGTACATCTAAAAAAATTCAAGAAGGTTTACATATTAAACTCTTTTAATATGTCAATGTATTTTAATTACATCCAGTATAAAAACTTCCTTTAAACAGTACCTATTATATTATCAACTTACTTTACAAACAAATTTTAATATATCATGCTTAGATATTTCTTTTTCAGCTCTGACACCCCAAGAAAATGAAACTTTCTTAGACAACTGATCAGTCTCCATATTTATATACTTCTTATTTTTTAAAGTTCCAGTTATAAAGTCCATTACATTTCCAAAAACTTCATGTCTTCTTTCTACACCAATACCAAAAGAGTTTAGAAAACTATACAGTGAATCTGAAATAAATATTAAATCATTATACTCGTACATACTTTGTCTTTGCAGACTAGTCTTTACAGGTTTCAGCACCCATCAATCCCATCATCATTCACTTCACCAACTTTTATTGAATATTTATTTATTTTCTAAGGATTTACCATTTTTACATGTTTTACATATAAATTTATAATTTTGTACTATAAGCTAGAAATTTGAATTTTAAAGTAATATTTTCTTAATTGGTGGACATATACACTATTGGTAAAAAGTGAAGCAACTTTTATGGTAAAATCAAGTATTTAATTATTTAAAATAAAATGAGCAACCATGGAAATCCAAACTCTCGTAGTTTATTATTATTATTAATAACAACAGTAGGCGGTTTTAAACCGAAGAGACTGCCGTATTTGGTAAACTGCTATCACAGTTTATCAGAAACATCACATAATAGTTTTTGTTTTATCACATAATTTTTGTTTCTTTTTTTTTGTATTTTTGGCTTCTAATCACAGTAATGCACAAAAGATGATTTGGTCCAACTTCTCATTTCCTAGTCGAGGCGATTGTTAAATTGATTTGTGACGGTAACATTAATGGTACTGATGCTTAGGCAGTTCCAATGATAAGAAAATTTCTTCGCAGGAGTTTATTGCATTTTTCTTTGGAAAGCTTTTGATCATGACCTCTCAGATTTGTTAGGTCTAATCTTGTAAGCCTGTCCACATAGGGCAGATCTTTAAGGTTTTGTGGTAATATGGTTATTCTCCTTTGCATTCTTTCTAGCTGATCTATGTCTTTGATGTAGTATGGATTCCAGACAGTTTTGGTCTAACATATGATTTGTGAAGTTTTAAGATCATTAACTCTTTAAGGCTGTTTGAATAAGGTAGATCATTGAATTGGCCATTTGTTCATTTGTGTGATATGTGCTTCCCATTTTAGTTCAGATGTTAAAGTGATTCATAAGTCTTTTTGTTTTGTTACTGATGCAATTTCCGTTTGTTTAAAAAAATAGTTGAATTTTGGATTATTTTAACCAATATGTAAAACACTGCATTTGGAATCATTCAAAGGCATTTTCCAATCCTGTGTCCACCTTTTGATATTGTTAAGGTCCATTTGTAATTCGACATGACGTAACAGTGGATTTCCACATGAGTTTCCATCATCAGTAAATGAGGCGTTGTTGGTATGAAGCCCTTGGTAAAGATCACTTAAGTATGCTATGAACAGCAGTGGTCCTAAGACTGATCACCGCTGTGTGCGTTGTGCTCATTTGAAAGTGAGGAATCCACACGTTAAAGCAAAAACTCTGTTAGTATTTTGTCAAACGATTTTTCAAAATCGAGGTAAATGATATCAATCGGTTCGTAGTTGTCATCAGCTATGGTTCACTCATTTAGTCTAGTTGGGAGGTTTGTCAATGTTAATTTTCCTGGGAGAAAACCATGTTGTTGCGCCGGTAAAACATTCTCTAGCATTCTTTAGCCATTAATTTTTCCATGCATTTACATAGTGCACTTGTTAGGCTGATTGGCCTACAGTTTTCTGCATGTTATTTGTTTCCTTTTTGTATATTGGTTTTACCACGGCTTTCTTCCAAGCTGCAGGGAACTCTCCTGTGCTTATTATCTTGTTAAGCGTGTCAGACAATGGCTCTTTCAGTTCTTGTACACAATTATTGAGAAAAACTGGTGTAATTTCGTCCTGGGCTAGAGTTTGATTTTAGTGATTTAATCACAGTCTCTATTTTTCTGCTGTAAATATGATGTTTATTTCAACCTTCTAAGAGAAATGTGGGTTTGATTGTGTTCAGATCTAATACTGTGTATACCCTTTCAAATTGTTCTGCAAAACATTCTGCACTTTCTTCATTTCGAATGGCTGTTTTGGTTTAACAATTAAGTTGAAGTTTGTTATGTTTGGAGATGAGATAAGTTTTCTTTGCTGTCACTATGCACACTTTGGTTTTGTTATTTTGTTATCTTCAGATTTTGATGTTTGATATTTGTATCACACATTCCTTTTCTGCTGAAACACTTTAAAGACTTCTTTGGTCAGCCATGGTCTTGGCTTGTTAACTTTTTGAGGCCTTATTGGTACATGTATGTTAATTGTTGTTTATTGCTTCATATAAAGTGTCAATATTTTTTTTATTGACTACCTAATGTAATAATTCTTGCTGAAGTGAGTTGTTGACAGCATCATAGTAAGCTTTCCAGAATTGTCTCTTGTAAACTTTGTGAGTTTGATGGGTTATAACTTGTGGTAGTTGTGTTTTGGCTGTGAAGACTACATCTTCACTTTTTCCCAAAGGTGCATGTTGTTGGACATCAATGTTGATGTCCTCTGTGGTTTTTGTAATTCTCCAAGAAGTCATAACTACACTGGTTGTGTGGATTAATTTCTAGCTTGTCCCAGGTGTCATAGCTTTTTCGATAGCCCATGTTAGTCCTAAATTAAGCTCTTCAGTTGTTTCTTTCTTTTGTCTGTATTCACAAGCTACTAAGAACCTAACCTAAGTGGTCATAGTAAGCTGTTCTCAGAGGTGACATGGGATTATTTGGAAATGTCAAACAAGTTAAGTATGTAGTAATTTATTTTAACAATATATTTTATTAGCGCGACAAAAGTATAGCAACTCTTTGATCTGGTGTAAAGGAAGAGTTTATGATAAAGGTAAGTTTAAAAATTAAATTTTTCAGGTAAATTAAGCTTTAGTTCTTTATTTGCAGAAATAAATATGCCAAAAGGAAAAAGAATCTGCACGGAGGTACAAAAAATGATCGTAAATGCCTTTTTAGAAGGGACGTGTAAGATTGCGAATTCCAAACAGCTTAACTTGCCTTAACGTGTCAAAACTAATTTCACGTTATAATGAAGGAGGAAAAATTCCGAAATCAGTAAGGCACAGGAAAAATACATTTTGGATGAATAAGAGAATCAAAAGAATTTCTCAGAGATCCGTGGTTGTCGGGACCAATGATAATTGCTGAAAATCCTGAATTGGAAGTCAGTGCGAGGATTGTTCAAGAAGATTAGTTGGGACAAAACTCTATAGTAGACGCCAAGAAACCGTTGGTTTCCGAAAGAAATCGCTGTGCCAGGCTTGAATTTGCACAACACCATTTGAACTGGACAGTGCAAGGTTGGGGAAAAATATTGTTTAGCGACAAAAGTCGTTACATTTTTTTAAATTCTACTGGAATGAGATGTGTTAGGCATCCAGTTAATACAAGAATTCACCCAAAGTTTGTTATGCCAACAATAAAACACTAACAGGGTAGTGTATTTGCATGGGGTTGTTTTCCATGGAGTAGAGTAGGTCCACTACATATTATAGATGGGATTATGGATCGCTTCGTCCAAAACGGTATGTTTCCCTATGCTCAGCGGGAGATGCCTTTGCAATTTGTATTCCAACAGGACAACGAGCTGAAACATTCATCTCACCTTGTTCAGGAGTGATTTCAGGAGAACTATGTCTAGGTTCTTCTGTGGCCAGCACAATCACCAGACCTCAACCCCATTGATAACCTTTGAAAAGAGGTTGAACTTTGTATTCGGACTACAAGATTTCCAAATAAACAGTCCTTAATTGATAAAATTAATGAAGTTTGGAAAAATCATTATCATCATTATCAAAAAAGACGTGTTTCTGTTTACTCCTATTCGAATTGAAATTTAGTTAAGTTATTAGTTATGGAAAAAATTGTGTTAAACATCAAAATGAAATGCTAATTATACTCTACATGGAAAGATAACGGACATTTAAAAATTTCCATCAAAGAACGCCATTTCTAGTGTAAAAGTGCATTAAACATTATTTAGCTATATCAAAAAGGTGGTCATTGGTATCTTATCTGTTTTTTTTTGTCGGACTTGGCGAAATAAATAATTTAATTTAATCGGCCCGAATTTGTTTTGGTTACCAGCGGCGGAGATAAATTTTAAATTCAAGAAAATCCTTATTATGTAGCAATAATGGAATGCATAAAGTGTAATACAAAGTGTTCAACAAAGGATGCCAAGAATCCAATATTTCCTTGTGATTATTGTAAGAGATTTTATTGTGGTGAGTGCGTCTGAAACTAGATGCATGATTATAGAGAAAAGAACCCTAATATTTCATTGTGAAGATTGCCGCAAAGAATTTTGAGAAAAACATTATTGAAGAGGTAAAAAACTTGCAGGAAAAATTTGAAACTCAATTAAACAGTAAGTTATTAGAAGAATTTAAAACAATACAGGAAATTATCTCTGAGAAATCTGATTCAAGTCAACAAGAAATTGTTAACCAAGTGACCACCAAAATAAATGAGAGACATTCTTATGCAGATGCAATAACACAAATGAAAATCAGTGGAAGTGAAATTTTAGTAGTGAAGCCAAAGGAGAAACAAGAAAGTAGCAAAACAAAAAATGATATTAAAGAAAATATTGATCCAAAGAAACTAGCAATAGGTATTGAAAATATAAGGGAAGTTAAGGATGATGCAGTACTTATAAATTGCAGTAATAGCCAAACTAAAGAAAAATTAAACAAAAGGTAAACAATGAAATGAATGATCCTTCAAAAATCCAAAGATTATAATTAAAGGCCATATTCTGGATAGTATTAAATAACAACATGACTTGGGTTTAGTTGATCTCAAAATCCTCAAAAAGTATAAGCAAGTAGGAAAATCATATAAGGAAAATATTATACCGAGTATAGGTGATGATACTTTAAAAAATAAAATATGTGAAAATAGTAAACTAAATGTAGGCTGGAGACGTTGTGCTGTCCAAGAATTTTTCTCAGTTGTCAGATGCTTTACATGTGCAAGATATGGACATGTTGCAGCAAATTGTGAGAATAGACTAACATGTTTTAAATTCTCAGGTTCTCATAAAACAAACGATTGTACATTAAATCATGTAAAATGTATAAACTGCACTGAAGCAAATATTAAATTTAAGAAATCAGTTAAAGTAGAACACCAAGTAAATGATGTGAGAGTTACAAAATAATTAT